AATAATAATGGTAACATTAATAGTAAAACTAATCGGTTATTTTCTTTGATTTCACCTTATCTCGGGGACTCCGAGATTTCGTGGGGGAGTTTCAGGAAAAGTCCCATGGTAAAAAGGGGGTTAATGAAATGAACAGAGACTAACACTTACCCTAACCCATAACCTCCTATAATATTTGACTTCCCCGGGAACTCCCCACGAAATCTTCAAGTCCCGAAGATGGAGTGAAATGAAAGAAAAGAACCTAATAATTTGCGGAAAAGCAAGTAAAATTAGTGATACATTTAAAATAATGTGTCAATGAACAACCAGTTAAAATGAAAACAAACTTCTGTACACGGTTGGGAGTGGAAAAGGGGGGGGGGGGGTGAGGTTTCTTGCCCCTCTTAGAATTTTTTAAGGAGTATGGGGGGGGGGGGCACACACGTTTTTTGTTTGGAGGCTCAGGATGTCAAGGAAAGCTCCCCATTTTCCGGTGCCCTTGTCTCCCATTGGAGAGTAATTACCCCCTTTTCCCCCCGTCCACAGAAGTAGAGATACGTATGTTGTTATTTAGAACAGGTCGTATCGTAGCGCAGTTAATTATAAGAGCAAGCCTGTATTATTTATGGAACGTTTGGCTGGGTTATTTAGATGTAAATTTATGAACTAATTAGAGGCAATATTAGCGTTAGGGACCTGGTCTGGTTGTTTAGTTTCAGTGTCAAATCTGGCCGTGTAAAATGTCAGGTCTGTCTCAGAGGAACATACTGTTTGTGTTTATTGCCATGTGTTTTCAGTCTTTCGTCTCTGTCTCCGTCTCTCTTTCTCTCTCCCTCTGTCTCTCTATCTATCTATCTTTTTTTCTTTCCTTTCTCTTTTGTGATCCTTTGTGTTCCGTTCTGTCTGTCTGTTTTTCTTTCTTTCTTTCTTTCTGTCCCTCCTCCTCCCCCGTTCTCTTATACCACTTCTCTTTTAACTCTTCTTCTTTTTTTTAAATTTATTGTCCTCTCTCGCGCGCTCTCTCTCTCTCGCTCTCTCTCTCTCTCTCTCTATGTGTGTGTGTGTGTGTGTGTGTGTCTTTCTTTTCCTTCTCTTTGTTTCATTCCTCTGTGTTCTTTCTTTCTTTCTTTCTTTTTTCTTTCTTTTTCTCTCTCCTTTCTTCTGCCTCGTTGAGTTATACCATTTCTTTCCTAATTCTTTCTTTGTTCTTTTTGTATTCCTTGTCTTCCTCCCTTTTAATTCTCTCTTGTTTAGAATACCATCTCTTTCTTCTTTTTGTATTTATGTCTCCTCTCTTTCTCTCTCCCCTCCCTCCCTCTTACTTACTGTTTTCTATACTGTTCTCCCCCCCCCCCCCCAAAAAAAAAAAAACAACCCCGCATAGTTATCCGATGGCGCATTTTTATTAGTTTGTAAATAAAATACCGCACTGGGGTATGTGAAAAGCAGACTAAAATGTTGTTTACCGTGTCCAGTTGACACGTGGGCGTGAATTGGGTTTTTGTAATCGTTACAACGCAGTGGTCATCTGTGTTTAAAGCCATATTTGTGAGTATAGCTCACGATGCGCGCACGAGAAAGCAACACAATTTGTGGTGAACACTATTCACCGCCTGTTGAACCCCTCGTACACCAAAAACGACACCAAGACACCGAGGACCTGTCCTTACGCGTCGCTACCGCCATCATCGACTTCTTTGTGCCAAACAACATCGTCTCTGGGCAAGTGAAAATCAGCGGAGACGTGTCTGTTTCAGTTGCGAATCTTTATTTTTGTTGGAGCGTCGTGACAGACGGCGTAGGTTCTACCATAGCTGAAATAAAGGTTAAGCCCTAAATTGTGTTGATAAAGCTCTGCTGCACGGTGGTGGGGGTGTAATGGTTTAGGTAATGATCAGTTACAACGGAAGAAGTCAATTGGTGCACATTGAACGAAACTTGAATCCGCAACGTTACGTCCATGAAACTCTTCGACCACATGTGCTTCCATTTTGGGATGCCAACTGATATCTTTTCCAACAGGAGAACGCCAGACCCCATTCTGCACAGTTGACCACGCAGTTCCTGACTGTCAATAACATTCAAACCCTTCCCTGGCCATCCCTGTCTGCAGACATGAGTCCGGTTGAGCACCTGTTGGATGAGCTGCAAAGACGTGTTTGTCGTCAAAACGTTGCTCCAGCTAATGGTCGTGATCTGTTCCAAGCACTCCAGGAAGAGAGAAAGAGAGAGAGAGTGTGTGTGTGTGTGTGCGTGCGTGCGTACGTGCGTGCGTGCGTGTGTGTGTGTGGGGGAGTGTGTGGGGTGTGTGTGTGGGGGGGTGGGTTGTTGGTGAGATCGGACGCCCGTGTGCATTGTTGTTTCAGTAGATAAATTTTTTAAAAATATATTGATAAATTGAAATATATTGTCTTTAAATGTTTTTTTTTTTTTTAAGAAGTAATAAAAAATGTGTTTGCAAAATCTATGCCGAGGCACAGATACGATCAGTACGGTCTGAGGAGAATGGCGCTGCAAAGAGTTACCAGAGGATCTGCACAACGCTCAACACTCAAGGGAAAGGAGAGACGGATAAACGATCAGACAGTTACTGGTACCATCGGAATTGAAACTCTTCGCTTGCTGCTGAAGATGGGGACGTTTCGCTTATGGGAATGTCCCGAGTGCTATAATGTCGATTACTAATTCAACATTCGTAGAATCACACAAATTAATCTAGATAACCATCTAAAAGGCTTTGAGTTACAACTTAAAACAGTTGTACTCGTCATTTCCAAAATGCTGAATCATTGATTATGTCATTAAAATATGTGCAGCGTAGCATATCGCTTTCTACATGCAGACAGGTTTTTCTAGAGGCACTGTTGCTGTCACTTGATTTGAATTATTTTTTTTTTTTTTACTGTTACCATTAGCCACAGTAATAGTTGTAATATTGCTACAACATTAGGCAACACTAACTGAACCTTGCCTTGACTGATGATTTGATTCTGTTCGTTGTGCGGAATTTGTTCGTTGTTATGATCATTCCGCTTGACGTAACCATGGAAACGCCTCAGTTTACTGGTGACGGGGATATCAACATCCATCGGATTCTCTTTTCTTAGTATCCAGAAGCCATGAGTTGTTAACCCTTAGGCTCGGTGCTATGGATATTGCAATCTTTCGGCCTTGATTCCATGATAAATACCGTAAATCTGGGAGAAATATGGCTTTTCTGCCTACCCCCGGGCGTAAACCCGGACCACAAGGAGTTCGTCACCCGGTCACCGCGCAATCCGGTTTAGCCAACTAAGCTAGCGAGCCGGGCAATAATCTTTCTTGCGGCCCCTGCAGATTGTGAGACCCTAAGAGCTGTTAGCTTTAGTTAGCTTATGCCTGAACCCGGCCTTGAATTTACCTGGCTGCTGCCTGTTTACCTATCAACCTACCTAGCTACCTACCTGGTGTTTGTCTTTATACTTACCTACCTACATAATGTATACCTACCAGCAGACTTACCTGTGTACCTATCTATTAACCTACACACTTGCCTGTTTTCTATTTTGCCTAACCATGTTTTTACCTACTTACCTACCTACCCACATGCCTACCTACCCATATGCCTACCTACCCACATGCCTACCTACCCACATGCCTACCTACCCACATGCCTACCTACCCATATACCTACCTGCATGTTTACATATCCGTATTTCTTCCTGTCTTTCTGTTTGGCCAACTAACTATCTTTATTTATGTGTGTTTCTCTGCCTATGGCTTTCTGCATTCCTGCACGACTTTCCACTTAACTACCTGCTTTGTGGCCCCTTTACAAATAAAGCTCGTTTCTTCTTTCTCTCTCTAATACGAACAGGAAGACGATGAAATCATCTGCCTTGAGTGGGAAAATGACCATTCATTCAATCAAAAATGAACAGCATCAAAGCATCAATGACTACCAAATACTTGTTTGGCATGGGCAGGTCATAATGCGCCTTGGGACAGGGCATAACCAGCTTTTACCTACCCCCACTTGTCTGCCTATCTCCATATCAGTCAGCTTGAAGAACTGTATGTTATTCCCCATGACACTTCTAAAACTGTATGTTATTCCCCATGACTCTTCTAAAACTGTATGTTATTCCCAATGACTCTTCTAAAACTGTATGTTATTCCCCATGACTCTTCAAAAACTTTATGTTTTTCCCCATGACTCTTCTAAAACTATATTAGTCCCCATGACTCGTGTAGAAGTGTGTTATTCTCCATGACTCTTGTAGAACTGTGTTTTTCTCCATGACTCTTGTAGAAGTGTATGTTATTCCCCATGAATCTTGTAAAACTATGTTATTTCCCATGACTCTTGTAGATGTGTATGTTATTCTCCATGACTCTTGTAGAAGTGTATGTTATTCCCCATGAATCTTGTAAAACTATGTTATTTCCCATGACTCTTGTAGATGTGTATGTTATTCTCCAAGACTCTTGTAGAAGTGTATGTTATTCCCCATGACTCTTGTAGAGGTGTATGTTATTCCACGTGACTCTTGTAGAAGTGTATGTTATTCCACGTGACTCTTGTAGAAGTGTATGTTATTCCCCATGAATCTTGTAGAACTGTATGTTATTTTATATGACTCATGTAGAACTGTATTTTATTCCCCATGACTCTTGTAAAACTATGTTATTTTCCATGACTCTTGTAGAAGTGTATGTTATTCTCTATGACCCTTGTAGAAGTGTATGTTATTTCCCATGACTCTTGCAAAACTATGTTATTTCCCATGACTCTTGTAGATGTGTATGTTATTCTCCATGACTCTTGTAGAAGTGTATGTTATTCCCCATTACACTTGTAGAAGTGTATGTTATTCCCCATGACTCTTGTAGAAGTGTATGTTATTCCACATGACTCTTGTAGAAGAGAATGTTATTCCCCATGAGTCTTGTAGAACTGTTTGTTATTTTATACGACTCTTGTAGAACTATATTTTTATTCCCTTTGACTCACTGACGTCATATTTCTCTCTATCTAGAGCATTCCACTGGCGGAACTAAAACTGCTGTGTTTGGAGCAGCTGGAGGTGATGTCCAAGAAACGTATCAGGCGTATTCTTGCAGGTTTTGCATCAGTGTATTGTCTTCGTATTATCTAGTGACTATGTTCATTGCTCTGGTTTCTGTTCGCTACGTATAAATCTAAAAAAAAAAAAAAAAGAATGCGTAATATTTGGGCATTTATTATGTTCATATGAATTGTTATTTTATTTTGCCATGTGAATGTGTGCTTTGTTTGTATGAATGTTGTCTTGGCTGTGATATTGATTTCCTTTGGATATATTTATTATGTAACTGATTTTATGCGGTCACTTGAATGTGTTTATTTCGTCACTTGAATGTGATGTGAACATGTTTATTTCGTCACTTGAATGTGATGTGAACATGTTTATTTCGTCACTTGAATGTGATGTGAACATGTTTATTTCATCACTTGAATGTGATGTGAACATGTTTATTTCGAAGGTTGAGTTTGATTAACTGACAGTTTGAGGTCGTCGATTTAGAATATGACCCGTTTTGCATCACTGTAATGTTACTTGTCGAAAATATGGAAAGTTTAGCACTATTGTAATGTTATTTGTCAGCTAGAATTGTGTACTTTTAGCACTATTCTAATGTTATTTGTCAGCTAGAATAGTGTACTTTTAGTATTATTGTAATGTTATTTGTCAGCTAGAATAGTGTACTTTTAGTATTATTGTAATGTTATTTGTCAGCTAGAATAGTGTACTTGTAATTATTTGTCAGCTAGAATAGTGTTTTCAGTATGTTATTTGTCAGCTAGAATAGTGTACTTTTAGTATTATTGTAATGTTATTTGTCAGCTAGAATAGTGTACTTTCAGTATTATTGTAATGTTATTTGTCAGCTAGAATAGTGTACTTTTAGTATTATTGTAATGTTATTTGTCAGCTAGAATAGTGTACTTTTAGTATTATTGTAATGTTATTTGTCAGCTAGAATAGTGTACTTTTAGTATTATTGTAATGTTATTTGTCAGCTAGAATAGTGTACTTTTAGCACTATTGTAATGTTATTTGTCAGCTAGAATAGTGTACTTTTAGTATTATTGTAATGTTATTTGTCAGCGAGAATAGTGCACTTTCAGTATTATTATAATGTTATTTGTCAGCGAGAATAGTGCACTTTCAGTATTATTATAATGTTATTTGTCACCTAGAATAGTGTACTTTCAGTATTATTATAATGTTATTTGTCACCTAGAATAGTGTACTTTTAGTATTATTGTAATGTTATTTGTCAGCTAGAATAGTGCACTTTCAGTATTATTGTAATGTTATTTGTCAGCTAGAATAGTGCACTTTCAGTATTATTGTAATGTTATTTGTCAGCTAGAATAGTGCACTTTCAGTATTATTGAAATGTTATTTGTCAGCTAGAATAGTGTACTTTTAGTATTATTGTAATGTTATTTGTCAGCTAGAATAGTGTACATTTAGTATTATTGTAATGTTATTTGTCAGCTAGAATAGTGTACTTTTAGTATTATTGTAATGTTATTTGTCAGCTAGAATAGTGTACTTTTAGTATTATTGTAATGTTATTTGTCAGCTAGAATAGTGTACTTTTAGCACTATTGTAATGTTATTTGTCAGCTAGAATAGTGTACTTTTAGTATTATTGTAATGTTATTTGTCAGCGAGAATAGTGCACTTTCAGTATTATTATAATGTTATTTGTCACCTAGAATAGTGTACTTTCAGTATTATTATAATGTTATTTGTCACCTAGAATAGTGTACTTTTAGTATTATTGTAATGTTATTTGTCAGCTAGAATAGTACTTTCAGTATTATGTAATTTTATTTGTCAGCTAGAATAGTATTTCAGTATTATGTTATGTTGTTGTCAGCTAGAATTGTGTACTTTTAGTATTATTGTAATGTTATTTGTCAGCTAGAATAGTGTACTTTTAGTATTATTGTAATGTTATTTGTCAGCTAGAATAGTGTACTTTTAGTATTATTGTAATGTTATTTGTCAGCTAGAATAGTGTACTTTTAGTATTATTGTAATGTTATTTGTCAGCTAGAATAGTGTACTTTTAGTATTATTGTAATGTTATTTGTCAGCTAGAATAGTGCACTTTCAGTATTATTGTAATGTTGTTTGTCAGCTAGAATAGTGTACTTTTAGTATTATTGTAATGTTGTTTGTCAGCTAGAATAGTGTACTTTTAGTATTATTGTAATGTTATTTGTCAGCTAGAATAGTGCACTTTCAGTATTATTGTAATGTTGTTTGTCAGCTAGAATAGTGTACTTTTAGTATTATTGTAATGTTGTTTGTCAGCTAGAATTGTGTACTTTTAGTATTATTGTAATGTTATTTGTCAGCTAGAATAGTGTACTTTTAGCACTATTGTAATGTTATTTGTCAGCTAGAATAGTGTACTTTTAGTATTATTGTAATGTTGTTTGTCAGCTAGAATAGTGTACTTTTAGTATTATTGTAATGTTATTTGTCAGCTAGAATAGTGCACTTTCAGTATTATTGTAATGTTGTTTGTCAGCTAGAATAGTGTACTTTTAGTATTATTGTAATGTTGTTTGTCAGCTAGAATTGTGTACTTTTAGTATTATTGTAATGTTATTTGTCAGCTAGAATAGTGTACTTTTAGCACTATTGTAATGTTATTTGTCAGCTAGAATAGTGTACTTTTAGTATTATTGTAATGTTATTTGTCAGCGAGAATAGTGCACTTTCAGTATTATTATAATGTTATTTGTCACCTAGAATAGTGTACTTTCAGTATTATTATAATGTTATTGTCACCTAGAATAGTGTACTTTCAGTATTATTATAATGTTTTTTGTCACCTAGAATAGCTCACTTTCAGTATTACTATAATGTTATTTGTCACCTAGAATAGTGTACTTTCAGTATTATTATAATGTTATTTGTCACCTAGAATAGTGTACTTTCAGTATTACTATAATGTTATTTGTCACCTAGAATAGCTCACTTTCAGTATTATTATAATGTTATTTGTCACCTAGAATAGCGTACTTTCAATATTATTGTAATGTTGTTTGTCAGCTAGAATAGTGTACTTTCAGTATTACTATAATGTTATTTGTCACCTAGAATAGTGCACTTTCAGTATTATTGTAATGTTATTTGTCACCTAGAATAGTTTACTTTCAGTATTATTGTAATGTTATTTGTCACCTAGAATAGTTTACTTTCAGTATTATTGTAATGTTATTTGTCACCTTGAATAGTTTACTTTCAGTATTATTGTAATGTTATTTGTCACCTAGAATAGCTCACTTTCGGTATTATTGTAATGTTATTTGTCACCTAGAATAGTGTACTTTCAATATTATTGTAATGTTGTTTGTCAGCTAGAATAGTGTACTTTTAGTATTATTGTAATGTTGTTTGTCAGCTAGAATAGTGTACTTTTAGTATTATTGTAATGTTATTTGTCAGCTAGAATAGTGCACTTTCAGTATTATTGTAATGTTGTTTGTCAGCTAGAATAGTGTACTTTTAGTATTATTGTAATGTTGTTTGTCAGCTAGAATTGTGTACTTTTAGTATTATTGTAATGTTATTTGTCAGCTAGAATAGTGTACTTTTAGCACTATTGTAATGTTATTTGTCAGCTAGAATAGTGTACTTTTAGTATTATTGTAATGTTTGTCAGCTAGAATAGTGTACTTTTAGTATTATTGTAATGTTATTTGTCAGCTAGAATAGTGCACTTTCAGTATTATTGTAATGTTGTTTGTCAGCTAGAATAGTGTACTTTTAGTATTATTGTAATGTTGTTTGTCAGCTAGAATTGTGTACTTTTAGTATTATTGTAATGTTATTTGTCAGCTAGAATAGTGTACTTTTAGCACTATTGTAAAGTTATTTGTCAGCTAGAATAGTGTACTTTTAGTATTATTGTAATGTTATTTGTCAGCGAGAATAGTGCACTTTCAGTATTATTATAATGTTATTTGTCACCTAGAATAGTGTACTTTCAGTATTATTATAATGTTATTTGTCACCTAGAATAGTGTACTTTCAGTATTATTATAATGTTTTTTGTCACCTAGAATAGCTCACTTTCAGTATTACTATAATGTTATTTGTCACCTAGAATAGTGTACTTTCAGTATTATTATAATGTTATTTGTCACCTAGAATAGTGTACTTTCAGTATTACTATAATGTTATTTGTCACCTAGAATAGCTCACTTTCAGTATTATTATAATGTTATTTGTCACCTAGAATAGCGTACTTTCAATATTATTGTAATGTTGTTTGTCAGCTAGAATAGTGTACTTTCAGTATTACTATAATGTTATTTGTCACCTAGAATAGCTCACTTTCAGTATTATTGTAATGTTATTTGTCACCTAGAATAGTTTACTTTCAGTATTATTGTAATGTTATTTGTCACCTAGAATAGTTTACTTTCAGTATTATTGTAATGTTATTTGTCACCTAGAATAGCTCACTTTCGGTATTATTGTAATGTTATTTGTCACCTAGAATAGTGTACTTTCAATATTATTGTAATGTTGTTTGTCAGCTAGAATAGTGCACTTTCACCATTGTTATTAGCTCCCTGGATCCGGAAGAATCCACAGTTAGATAGATCGTAACGATCTGGATAGATTAAGAATGACCAAGACCCAAAAAGAAGGAAAAGAGGGACATACTATTCAAAAGGCTACTGGCGCCAATCTGTTTGGGAGCTTTCTGCTTCCTGTTTAAGGTGAAGACTAAGCTCTTATGAAAATGCCTCGAGTGCTGAGTCATCGCTTCTTAACTCGAGGCCCTAGTGTGGGTTTCGAAATCCCAGTTTGGAAGGGAAGCAAGAATAGACACTCTTGTCCTTATCGTGCATGACGTAAATATGGGTTGAAACGCATGCAGAAGAAGCTAAGTATTTGAAAAATTAAATCTTTGATAAAATTGATGTGTTGAGCCTAAAGGTATAGATCTCGCACCCAGTTGTAAACTTCAACACAATGTGCCACACACTGCCCGCTAAAGCTTTTTATAAGGAGATCCAGGTCAGGAAAAATTCCCGTTTTTGTGCAATTCTGTAGGGCTGCTGTGTGTTCACTATGTTGATCGAGTAGTTTCAAACACAAATTAAACTAGTTTCATTAATTTGTAACACGTTTTTTTTTTTTTAAATAATTTTTTTCTATTGTAATTTTTTTTTTTTTTTTCATTTTGAAGATGATTTTGTGTTTAATTATTTTTGTATTTTGTTTATAGCACACTAATTAATTTCCTAATTGATAACTAATTTAAAGGGGGGAAAACGTGTTGCACATTAATGATAAACATAGTGAACACATATCGGCCCATTGGAGTTGCCTAAAAAACGGAAATTTCCATTGAACTGAAAGGCCTTATAGACATTTATAGTAAGTCGTGATGCCACCCACCCTTTTAGAGACAACCAAAGAAGAAAAACGCAGAACTCACCTCATTTCAACCCCGACCTAGGTTGCTTTTGCTTTTACCCTGTGTAATATTCAGGCTTGACGTCAGTGCTGCCAGAACCTTATTATTATTATTCATATGATTGTTGTGCTTTTAAACTAGACTTTAGCCCCTGTGGCTCCTCCCCAGCCCCAGAATATAAAGTTGTAAGGGTGCTAGTGCACATTCTCCCCCGCCCCAATATTTGTGTGTGTGTCGCACATGATACTCAACTATCTTTTGAGAACAGTTTGATCAACCTTCATCCTTTACCTTGTTCTTAGGCGAGGAGTCCGCCAATATTTCCTCTTCTGGAACAGAAGATGATACGTCAGACGAGGAGATACATCAACCAGGTCAGTGGTGTTTTGTCTGTCTGTCTGTCTGTCTGTCTGTCTGTCTGTCTGTCTGTCTGTCTGTCTGTCTGTCTGTCTGTCTGTCTGCCTGCCTGCCTGCCTGCCTGTCTGTCTGTCTGTCTGTCTGTCTGTCTGTCTGTCTGTCTGTCTGTCTGTCTGTCTGTCTGTCTGTCTGTCTGTCTGTCTGCCATTCTGTCTCCGTGTGTTTTGTTTGTGAGTGAGATGGAGGGGGGGGGGTGGGGGAAGAGAGAGAGGGCAGAATCAGATGTTCTTGCTTGCTCCAGCCAGAACCCTCATTATTGTGTATGCAAGCGGTTTTTGTTTCCTTTATTCTCTCCTTCTGTCTGTCTGTTAGTCAGCCTGCTGCTTTCCGCGGACTTATCAGCCCACACCCCCACAACTAGCCTTATCCTAGGAAGAGGAAATGCAACCTTGAAAACGTTATGTTATGGCTAGACAGACCAGTCCCTTAGTCTTGGCTGGCAGCTGGTCTAGGAGGGAAGCTCTGACAGGCGGACAGATAGAGCACTGCTCTTCTGATCCGACAGCTTCTGCAACCTGCCTTGTTCCTGAAGTACTAGTGTTACTTTTTTTGGGGAGTAAAAAAGGCACGGAGAGAGAGAGATCATGATACATTGATATCATATGGTCTCTACGATACTGCCCAGGATTTGTGCTATGGGAAGGACGAACTTTCTGCCTGTCCGTTATTGGTCTCGGAGGTATTGAAGTGGACTTGAAGAACAAAATGTTATGGACCGTGTTGTGAGGAGGGGGCACATCAGGAAGGGAATGAGAATGAAGGAAGAAATGATTGCAAAAAGGATAAGAGCTGAGCGTCTGAGAAGAAACAGACTATGACCCAAATGTTCACAACAATGGTCCTGAAATCCCATTCCATAATTGTGGAAGACTTTTCTTAATGCGGTCGGGTCTTGCTAGTCAAACTCGCCGTCGCCATGGGATGCGAGTTCCATGAGCTCTAAAAGCGCAGTATAACACTATATGGAAAGGCGGAAAGGTACCAATCGATCTCTTAATGGGATCTCCATCAGGTAAAAGATTAGCCTAATGTAGACATCAGTAGGTCACATTATCTCTTCAATGTCACGGGGAGGGGGGCGGGGGAGTGGCAGTGTTGAAACGTCTCACTCTAGCTTGTTTCGGGCACATGATGAGACACATAATTCCATTGCACAGACTGCATTTCAATTAATATTGGAGGGTAATCAAAGCACACACAAAAGAAAGTGATGGGCAAAAAAAAAAAAACACTAGATGGAATGGCAACATCAAGAAGAAGTGGACAGGACTAAATTATTGTACAACAAGAGGAGAACAGAGCTCGCTGGCTGGGTTTGTGCGCTAGTGCTTCCAGCGATACACCTCAATGGCGCTAACTCATAAAGCATCATCTTATGTCATGTTTCAGCGCCTGTAATTTCAAATGCAGTTTTTTTTAACTATCATGATTTCGGAGAGCACCGCAAGTCATTTGCTGCTGTTTTTTAATAGTCTGTCTCCTTTCTGTACATGCAGCCGCTGAATTGATTGCTCACTGCATCTAGAACACTGTCTTTGTAGGGTTACCCAGCGATTGACACACCCCGTGAACGCATCTTTCGCTTGTCTCTTCACCGAACAAGTCACCTAGGCTTTTTGTTTACCTAATCTGCCCAGTGTGGATCCACGTGTCCCATTAGATTAGACGGAAGCGATCTGGCAAAGGTTAAACTGTATAAATGTCAGCTTCGAGAATCTATATCGTTTCCTTAGTGACATGGGTCAAGGGTCAGGCATGATGGATGGTGTTCGTCAGTTTACTGCAGTCGTGATATACTCTGGGGCGCAGCTCCGTGTATGTGGCTTTTACCTTTTCAATAAGGCGAGCCAGGAGGGTAATTGCCATTGATTGGCTGCGTGTGCCCGATAGGAAAAGCAGGTGGGTATTTTTTGGCGCAGGTTTGGAGTGGAGAAGATTTGTGTAAACCATGTACTGGAGAATCTTTATTTATTTATTGACTTTTTTGTTCATTCGGTCTCTCGCCAGCTCTCTCACCTCGTTCTCACTTTCATTCCCAAGGTGTCACTTATATCCTGTGCTTGTCTTCGGACTGGTCGGCCCCCACCCCTCTTCTCTGGGGCTATAACTTCTGCTTTTATAGTTTCCAATCTTCATATTTCCAAACTGTTTTAGTTGCAGAGATAAGTTGCTGTTTACTAGCCAGTCTCCCTTGTTCCTTGAATGATGTTGAGATCTGTTAGGATTTCAGTATTCCTTTTCTTCTTTGCCCATGCTATTCTAAGAATCTTTTTACAGCATTTCCACTCAGAAGGCCATATTTTCTTCCTTAAAGAAGTTTTACGAAACTGTTTTACTTTCCGAGACAAAATGCTGTTGGCTAGCCAGTTTTCCTTGATTGTTGTTCAGATCTTTTTTGATGTCAGTATTTCTTTTCTTCTTTGCCCGTGGTATTCTGAGAATCTTTCTATGGCATTTCAGCTGAAAAACCCATATTTTCTCTCTTAAAAAGAGAGCCCACAACTCACATCGCTATGCTGTTACATGGCAGATGTATGCTCTTACAATCGTGAGTTTCATTTATTTGCTGTTGCTTAACCTTATAATTGTAATCTTCTTCTTGTTCTTTTTCTTCTTCAGCATTCCGAGCCCTTGAGGCTCGTTGCTGCAGATATCATCCGCCTCCCTTCATCTCTCTGGTTGGCCTTCCCTTTCCACTTGGTGACACCAAGTCTTTGCAGGTCTGTCTGGACATTATCTCTACACATTGTTCTTGGTCTGCATCGTGGTCTACGACCATTCATCTCCCTTGTGTATACAGTTTTTACTTCTCTGTCAATATAAGTATATGGCTGATACATTATGATATTTCTTTCGTCTTGCAGGTGGTCCATATTGTTTTCTTGCAATTAAACTAGGACCACACAAGCTAATTCCACACTGGATTCGAAAATAAAATTAATTGCCAACACCAAACACGAATCAACTGTGGGTAAACTAAACCCCATCGCATTAAGGCGAAGAACATGACAATCATGGGAATGATTGAAATTGGTCTGCCGGTAATTCTGCCTTAGTTTCTTATTAACTTCTGCAAAGACCTGATGTTATCACATAATCTCATTGACTACACAAACCATTTACCCTATCGTAATTATGCTGGCCCGCCTTACAGGGCCTCCAATTTAATTGTCAATTTCCTCGCTTAAACCTGATCCTTTCTGACCCGATACTGCTGTAGCTAAGGTAAACACGGGCAGATCATAACAGCAAAACAGGGCCGCTTTCTTTGGGGTTCAGTCCTCTTTAGATTCCTGTGGGTCTCCTATTGTGTGATTTTTTAATAAGCTGTCACTTTAAAGGTGAGGGAGTCTTTTACCTAGGGGAGCCGCCGTGGAGTAGCGGCTAGACGCTCGTATGCGTATCTGAAGTGGGTTCAGGTTCTTGAAGTTTTGTTATTGTTTTCAAACGGACTTTGGCTCCCAGATTGACCCAGCCTTAAATGGGAACCAGGTAAGTACTTGGAGGTAAAGGCGGTCGGCGTGATGTTGACCACATCAACCACCGATTGCCGATTGGTCTGTAAAATATAGATGTAGCCCTATATGCCCAATACTCCTGATGACGTGGAAAAGGGCCCTTTACTTTACGTTTTCTTACCTCAGCTCAGGGCCTTTGATATGGTTTATGACGCTCCCATACAGCCATTTATTAGCGTCCGCCTCCTGGCTGCCCCCTTTGACTCGCCGGTAGACGACTTCGTAGCCGGTCGGGACAGTATTTGTGTCTGTCTCCTTTGATCGCATCAACACTGCAGGTGATCTTTTCAGGTGGCGTGCAATGCTAGGCCATTTTATATGGCGCACATTACTTTGTCACTGTTATAACCCAAAGCTCCCCTTTCGGCGATACTGGTTGAACGTGATGATTTTTTTTTTCCTGGCAGAAGAAACGGAACTTCCCGGCTGAGCTTTCAATATGGCTATTAGTTTACAGACTACCAATTCTATGTCCGGTTTAGGACAGCCTCATAACTTTTAGTCCAAAACTGACACTCAGCTCCCACCTGTGGCTCCACGTAGCTGTCAGCATGAGACAGCGCCCCCCCCCCCTCCCGGGCAACGGCTTTGACAGGCCGGCAAAACCAGGTGAGGGTAGCCGATGCTCCTTTCCATCGGTGAGTTGGGATCTGCCTATCCAAGCATGCAAAGACTACTGTCGGCAGAATGGGCGGAGGAAACCATGTTCAACGGTCAAGTCGGCGACACTAGCAAAGCGCTGTGGGGCGCATAGAGCATGGCGAGGCACGTAGAACGCCCTGGTCATCCACTGCACCTAGACATATCTCCTCTCTACCTGACTCTTGTCTTGCCACTGGACCCAGATATGACTTAGGCGAGAGAGTGAGGCCGACGACACTGCGCAACTGTTCCTCACTTTAATCCAAGTCACCGCGCAATTCACTCTTTCATCTTCACTTTTCCCCCACCAATTCACAGTTACTTATGTTTTAATTTGTGTTGAAGTTTTTAAACCTAACCGAACACAGTACAGATCCATTAAAAAAAAAAGTTGGAGTCGAGAGGATCGACTTCATTGCACCGGGCTCCCCCTCCCCCACATATGGCTCAGTTTGTCTCCGCAGAACGGCTAGCTGAATACCGAGAGCATCGCACATAGCACGAACTCCGTAGCTCCGACTACGATCCCCAGGAATCGCCGTAAAAATCGCACTAGTGAACTGAAGGGCACAATCGTAGATGCGAACCCACGACCTTCAGAGCGTGAGGCAAAAAGCTTGACCACTTTGCCACAGAGACCACCCCCACCCCCTTCCTCCCTCAACACAGAACAGATCAAACAAACGTGCAGCTTGTAGTCCTACAGGAGCATTGATACCAATAAAAGCCGAAACTGTCATAATGATAACAGCAATAAAGATAAGGTTTGCGGTTTTGAACAAGCGATCAACATCATG